GCCATTTTCTCCTAAACAAATGCAAATGTGTTTGCTTTACTTATTTATTTTATTGTCTCATCTCTTAAACCTGTCTTTCATTTTTGAGATTTGACAGTATCTGTGGTCTTAGCTTCCTACCCTCAATTGGGAATGCGAGTTTGATTTCAAAGGCTCCGGAAATTACATGTCTTGACCAGCCACTGGTGTGTGTGCGTGTGTGTGTGGGAGAGAGAGAGAGTGAAAGAGAGAGGTTTCTCCAGCTGTGATGTCATATTGATGGTATTTTAAGGTGTATTAATTTAGATTGGATTGAATAGGAAATCACTGAAGGCGCAGGGGTGGAATGCACCGCCCGCCACTGCTTTATATTAATCTGTCACAAACCGTAAAGAAAATCCTGATAATTCAGGAACCTATAATTAATATGCTTACCTCTGTGCAAACAATGGTCAGGGCCCCAACCGTGAAGCTTTAGAGAAAACCTGAAAGAATCAGGATTATGTTTCTTTTTCAAAAAAGTTTATTACAAAATCAAAAAATACAAAAATGAGTAAATATAAAAACAACCGCTTCCCCCCAAGGAGGGATTAGTTCTAATGATTAACTAAGAAATAAAGAGTTGATTTACACCAACTCGGTCTTCTGAGAATCTCCCCCAACCTGGGACGTAATTTTGGGGGGGGACGGGTGGGACATGTCCCCCCCACTTTTTCAAAAGGCAGTTTTGGTCCCCTGCACTTTTTTCCGTCCAAAAACAATATTACGCTCCATTAAATGGATTTGGTTGAGCACTAGGACCGAAACGGAAACCGGTTTCCTATTAGACCCGCCCAAAAGCTAATCTATTGGCTCTGCTGATACTTGCTAACGTATTATTGGCTGTTGCTGCTGTCACTCAAGTTGTAAACAGTCAGAACGTGCTCACGTTGTTTTGCTAGTTTGGAGCCGCTAGGGGACACCGGTACTGAGTCACATCGTCAACTAGACGCTGTGTAATATCAGAGCTCAGCTCATCTTCCATTACATAACATTTGAATAAGTGTTCATTTGTGAGTCTTTGGTAGTTAGGCACAGCCAGGAGGCAGCATGTCAAGAAAACGAAAAGTGGATATAAGAGACTTCTTTCAAAGTCTAAACGTAAGTTGGACATGTGACAGACCTGCATTAAGCTCAGACTCACCTCCTCCTTCACAAACATACTCAAAACTAACTTTTACAAACTCATCTCCTCCACATAACTGACTCCTCAGACACAATTTATTCGTATTATTATAATTATTATTTTTTTATTACTATTATCATCATAATTATTATTACTAGTAGTAGTAGTAGTAGTAGAAGTGTAACTTCAAAACTTTTATCATTTAACTTTATTGTAAACCTATCTATTGCAATGTATATGTTCACATTAAAAAGCTCTGAAAAATGAACAGTATCATCATCGTCAACAGATTTCAACAGATCTTTTTAAGCTTAATGTCAAAGATGTACACTTTTCATTAGATTTATCTTATTTTTTACATTTATTTTTTGTGTGTTGAAATGCAACAACTGTTTAAACACTTTTAAGGGAAAAAACATATTTAATATGTTTTTATACACTCAAATGTTAGGGTGATGATCATGTGTAAAACATTAGTTCAGCATGTCCTCTAACACAGCAAATGAACAAACGGCCAGATCTCAGGAGGGACCGTTTATGTATAAATAATTTTTATACTTTTGACTAGGCCTGGGAAAGTAACACATTTTGCTGGACGATATTTTGTCCAACAAATTGTTGATGATAAACGATATCATTGTCAACATTATCTAGACCAAAATAACCACTAATATAATGTTAATATATCATAATAATGCAAGTACACCCTTTAAAATGCAACAAATAAACCTTCATTTAACACTGAAATGTCCAGAACCAGAACTTCTAAATGAATAAAAATAACAAACAAAAATTAAATAAAAAAGGAATCTCACTCCCTGTTAGAAAATGTTGCACCAAAAACAATAAAAAAAAGACCCAAAACAATAAATACAATGGCCTATCCATTGTCAACAGCCAAAACTGCACTTCAATAATGATAATAAATAAAAATAATAAGAGTTGTACATTTTTTAACTTTGATATATATATATATATATACAGTTGTGGTCAGAAGTTTACATACACTTGTAAAAAATATAATATAATGGCTCTACTGAGTGTCCCGTTATTTCTAAAACTCTGATTTTTCTCTGATAGAGTGATTGGAACAGATACTTCTTTGTCACAAAAAACATTCATGAAGTTTGGTTCTTTAATGTCTTTATTATGGGTTAACAGAGAAAAGTGATCACATTTGCTGGGTCACAAATATCGTGACGTGTCAAGGGGTCTTTACATAACACCCCCCACCCCAAATCCGCACAAGCCTGCTGTGTCCCCCCCACTTCTGAAATCAAAATTTCGTCCCTGCCCCCAACTCTCTGCTTCTCTCCAAAAAATGACCTGTCATCTCTGGACGGGGGATGACCTCTCCAAATCTGCTCTGTCTCTCTGTCGTATGCCCCAGCTCTCTCAGAGCTGCTCTTTTATACCCTTCCTGGGCCAGCTTAGGCAAGGTAAAAGGCACATATCATTACCTCATGACAGAGAGGTCATGGGGTCATTTACCAGACACACACTTTTTTGCTCAACACAAGACATTTGGTATCATTATCACTTCATGCAGCATTCTTCTTAACACAGGTCATTACATGCAGCACTCTACATGAGGGCACAAAACACTACATTCAGCACTCTTCATGAGGGCACAGGTCATAAATCATCATGTTTGTAGCAAATTGTAGGTCTTCCTTCAGCATTCCTGAGAAGACTCCTAGATCCAAACGGGACCTGAGTGAAGTTGGCCCCCCCACCTTCTTCAAATTCAACAAAAGTGGTATCAAACCATTGTGCTACGTTTGTGCTGGTTTGTGCTGCAAAAATTTTCGTTTGTGCTACTATCATTTTAAAAATATTAATAAAAATTTCTGGAGGTCATCAGAGGTCAACCAGCCCCCCCACATTAATGGAATCAAACAAAACTGGTGTCAATCAACTGTTCTACGTTTGTGCTGGTTTGTGCTGCTAAAATTGTCGTTTTTGCTGCTTCTGTCTTGAAGATATTAATGAAAATGTAAAGGTCAAAAGGTCAAACAGCCCCCCCACCTTCTTCAAATCCAACAAAAGTGGTATCAAACCATTGTGCTACATTTGTGCTGGTTTGTGCTGCAAAAAACTTCGTTTGTTCTACTATCATTTTAAAGATATTAATAAAAATTTCTAGAGGTCATCAGAGGTCAACCAGCCCCCCCACATTAGAGGAATCAAACAAAACTGGTGTCAATCAACTGTTCTACGTTTGTGCTGCTAAAATGTTTTACTTGCGGAACTAAACCCCTGGACTGCTGAAGGTACAGCCTTTTTATCCAGGTGTTGGTCATCAGCAGGATTCAGATCAGCTGTGCTCCTCAGCAGCCTGGAAGAGAGGAGGAGGGGCGGTGTCAGGCTGATCACCGGGGCTGGGTGATCCTGGCTCCTGCATCCCAATGGCCAGGCTGGTAGCCGTAACAGCATTAGTACAAAGGGTGGTTCTTGTGTATTACATAAACAACAGCTGTGAACTTACATGACTTCTGTACATCGTCTCTGTGTTCATGTTTATCCAGTGTTTGAAGGCAGCATGCCAGATTTGCACAGGGCAGTTTTGTTTTCCTTCTTCTTGTCCTGTTGCTCAGGAAAGATCCCTGTAACAACTCTACTGTTTATCCATTCATGTTCTTTGTATATTGTAAAACTCAGCAGCATGATGATACAGCACCAGGATATTAAATAGTGATCTGATTGTGTATTTCACTGTCTTCTATTGAGTTTGAGTTTTATCTGTAATTTTTTTAAATTTAATTTTAATAATTAAATAAACTGAAAGCTAAACTACTGTTGCACTGGGTTTTCTTTTAAGGAGACTCAAAGGAGTCACAGTGGAGCTCAGTAGTTATGATTTAGAAATGGAGAATGTTCTGATGGTGACCCAATATCCAAATATTTACTGGATCTCTGGTCAGATGGTCATGAAATGGTTGTGGGAGAACCCAGAGGGCAAGTGAAGGCTCTGCAGACAGACAGATGAACTCAAAAATACTTTAAAGGTGTTGTTGACTGAAAAACCTTTTTTTAACTATTATTTCTGATTACAATTAGTAGTTCTGGGTTTTTCATGCAGGCTGAACATAAAAAAGGTCTCCTACACCTATCTCCTGTGCCAGCTTCTGATAGAACATAGATGGTGAAATGCTAAGGTTTAAAATTCCTCACTAGATGTCACACTGTGAATTTGCATTCAAGGCCTCGCCCATTTTGGGTCATGCCTGCCCAAGGGACGGGTTTTCAAAAATAAAATTTGCAGTGAGGAGAGAGAGCGGAGAGTGTCTTGGTGATAGTGACTCTGCAGCATGGCTGAACGTGTTCTCTTAGCCAATCAGAAGTGAGGTGCGTGAAGAAAGAAGAAGAAGAAGAAGAAAGTATCAAGATAAAAATCACGAGGCGCTTCGGTGTGCATATCGTGCACAGGTTTGCTGGATAAACTGGATAAACATGAACACAGAGATGATGTACAGAAGTCATGGAAGTTCACAGCTGTTGTTTATGTAATACACAAGAACCACCCTTTGTACTAATGCTGTTATGGCTACCAGCCTGGCCATGCAGGAGCCAGGATCACCCAGCCCTGGTGATCAGCCTGACACCGCCCCTCCTCCTCCTCTCTTCCAGGCTGCTGATGTACACAGGTGTGCATATCATTACTAATAATAATGAGTAATCCTGCTGTTTTCAGCCTACCACTACACCAGCAAACTTCTGCATCTCAGAACAGAAGCATCATTGTGCTTTTTTTATGACTCATAAGACACTGAGTTACCCCGGCTTTCCAAGGGAGCCATCAGCAGCACGTTACTGCAGCAGCATGTCATAGCTGCTGATAGGAACCGCTGTGGTCAACAGAACCTTTTCCACGGGAGCCGTCAGCAGCGCGGGTCGGCCGCGTCTCAGAAGCAGCATGTCGCAGCCTTTACGCGCTGGTTCTATTTTCTACGCGCGACGCCTCTGAAACGGGTCAAGTTCGACATTTTTGGGGAAGGAAAGACAGGAAATCGGATGCGGAAATGGAGAGAAGCTTCCGAGATTTTCAGAATAAAGAACGTACTGCCTTCTGGTTGCTTTGCTTTTAAAAAAGGTTACTAACTGTGCGGCCCCGTGAGAAGTTATCACCTAGCTAGCAGTCTCCTTTGTTTTTCAGGTCCGTATTGGCGATTATAAAACATACAGAACATAAAACACAAACCTTGTTGTAGTTTTCTCCTGCTTGTTGTTGTGTTTACTGACGAAGTCACTCGTGTGACTTCGTGCTCTGTCGGTGACGGCTGCTCCCCTGCTGCTTCGCGTCTCGTGGGAAGGGCCAAGCAGCAGCTTGTGCGAGCAAGACGTGCTGCTGCAGTAACGTGCTGCTGATGGCTCCCGTGGAAACCCGGGGTTAGACTAGAGAACACTCCAGATGTGTTGAATAAACAAGTAAACCACATCTTTAATAACAGCAAAACTGGGAGCAGAGTAAACTTAACAAGAGGGGTAAAACAGATGAAAATTAGCACTAAAGGGAGCTAAACAGAGACAGATGTGTACAGTCAACTGGTGAGCTGAGGGAAATCAAGCTGAACCAAAACAGAAACAAATCCTGGAAAAATAACTTTACAGATCTTTGCAGAACTGTTAGAAAACAGGGTTTATCCTTGGTATACCGTCACTTTTTATAACATGCCACCCTTTATAATCCTGCTGGTAGTGTAAATGTCCACCTGAGATGGTCTAAAGACGTAGGTACTAAATATTTGCATGAGTGCCAGTCATCATGGATAAAACTGAAGTTCACAGCCTACACTACGCTGTCCGTGCAGGTTGGATTTAACAGATCAAGGACTTGAGAAACAATGATTGGTTTAAAGATAACCCTAATTCTTTAGAAATGCATTTTCAGAAGCTGACTCTCATTTTAGCCACGTCATATTCCTCTGTTCATGTTGAAAGTCGTGGTTCCAAGACATGAACAGAATCACATAATCTGCAAGCGGAGGGGACACCCAGGGGTTCTGAAACTAGATTCCTTCTTTTTGACAACTACATCTCAAGATCCTCAGTGGGTTGGAGATGATGAGCAGCCCAGATGGAGGCCAACCATTACTGGGCTAAACTTAGTCCAGAGAATATGAATTGCAGGACATGGACACGTTATACCCCCACAGCAACCCCTACTAACTGCCTGGAGATATAACCTATTCTCTTTTTGTTTGTTGATTTTTAAAGTCCTTCACCACAGCTAAAATTTACTGGAGCAATTAGTTTGCTGCTGATCTTGTTCTAATATTTGTTCTTCTGGATTTGTGATAAATGACATAAATTAGAAATGCAATGAAAGAAAGCTTTTAAACTGAACATTTTACTTGTTGCAAGCATGTAGACATACGTGTGACTAAAATATTATTCACATATTATATGAAGGCTTCAATACACAGATGCACAAACATTTATGATTTTAGATTTTTTGCTTGCCATAAGGTGTGTCAGACAGAACAATGAAAAACTCCTGCGAATAGAGAGAGACAGGGAGAAAGGAGGGGTAATATGAAGACAGAGGTGGGAATTGGCTAGTCACTTGACACTATAAAAACCTCTGACATGAACTCAGACTCAGTTTGCTTTCTTCTCAAGCCCATTAGAGACAGACATAAAGCAGGAGTAGCAGTAACTTGACAAGTACTTCTGTTTGGTTTCTTCAGAAGAGATGGATCTTGTAAACAAAAGGTAAATTATGCTTTTATCATTATAATCCTTTGTGTTTATTCTCTATCTATAATTACTAATTATTTTACTAAACAACAGTTTCTGTTCCTGGACAGCATTTGTCAAGTTATTGCTGTAATGTGGCAAAAAGAAAAATCTACAAAACCACTAGAAACTTAGCAAAAACCCGAAACTTTTTTTGTACCCGATGTGTTTCAGAATCTGTTCTGCTGTTTTTTTTTTTCAGTGTGTCAGCCTCATGCCTGTGCCTGTTAAAACATGTTTACTCTCAGATACATATGTGCATTAACCCATTAAAATATCTGCTGATGTTTCTGAAAGTACTTTAATTCAACCACAAAAGGTGAATTTATAGGTAAGAATAAGCTGAAACTAAGTCCAAATGCAATATTTTTCTGAAGTAGAAAATACTTTTGTCTCCCAGTTCAATGTGTACTCTGAAATAAAAACTAGATCACAGTAAACAGTACCATTTTGAAGAAAATACCATTTAATCATGTTTTTTCTCATCTGTTTTGTAATTTTTCTGCAGCTTCAATGGTAACATCTCCTCTGGAAATGAAGACCAGAACAACACGAATCAAATTAAATGTCTACTTCTACCTGATGATTTGTCCTTCTCAGTGATTCCACCATACATTATGATTATCGCCATATTGGGAATTCTACTAAATATCTTTGTGTTGATGGTTTTCTGCCTCCACAAGAAGTCCTGCACCACAGCTGAGATCTACCTGAGCAACATGGCTGCAGCTGACCTCCTTCTGGTCTCATTTTTGCCCTTCTATGCGTTTTATGTTTTAAAGCGTTTTGACTGGACTTTTGGTTTGGCCATGTGCAAACTTGTCAGCATGAGCATTCTGATGAATACCTACAGCAGCATCTACTTCATGGTTCTGATCGGCATTGATCGGTACTTGGCTCTGGTGCACCCACTGTTCAGTGAAGGAATACGAAGACCAAAGTTTGCCAAACTAGGTTGTGTGGTGGTTTGGATTCTGGGATTCCTCTTTAGTCTTCCAGCTCTCATCCACAGGGATTTGACAGCACCCATTAATAACACTAAATCAAATTGTTTCATGAATTTCCCCAGCCATAATGTACAGCTAACAAGTGACTTGTCACTCTCTGTACTTGGATTCATCATTCCCATTTTCATTATTTCCTTTTGCACCATTAAAATAATCAAATCTCTGAAAAACAGAATAACAGAAGGAGTAAATGCAAAGAAGGTGGATCACAAGGCGACCACTTTGGTTCTGGCTGTTCTTCTGGCGTTTTTGATCTGTTGGGTTCCGTACCACCTGGTGAAGATACTATATTTTCTCAAAGATGCTAAACTTTTTACTAGTTGTAGTGTTTTCAAACTCTTGCATATCTGCAGCCAGATCTTCACCTACTTGGCCTACTTCAACAGCACTCTCAACCCCATTCTCTACGTCCTTGTTGGGAAAAACTTTCAGAAAAAAGTGAAAGAACTTTTCAGACAGTGGGATCACAAACGGACCTCAACCTTGAGCAACACAGTGAGCACAAAGCTGCCAAGAAGCAATAGATCTTCACATAACATTGTCTGAAAAGCTTGTGATTGTCTTTCATTAAGGTATGTTTCATTTTTTTTATTTTATAAGGATAGTAGAAAGAAGAGCATGTTCCCTAACATTTTACCTATAGGGTTGGGAAAAAAAGAAAGGCAAAAAAATATGAATGACACTCCTTTGTGTATTTCTGTAATATGGTGATAACCCCACATTTTTAGTAAAGTCCAACTTCTTTTCTTTAATTTAGAAGTTTAACAATAAGAGAAGATATGCAGCATTGTGATGTCTGACTTATTTCATTGATTGTGTAACTTATGTGGAAAAAAATATGGCAGAGACATGAAAGGTTGGCAGGGGCTACGTGATGGTGCAGCTGATAGTATTGTTGCCTTGCAGTAAAGGTTACAGGTTCAAAACTTTCTGAAAAGAGAGTGCATGTTCTCTCCAAGCTTGCATGGGTTTTCCACGGGTTCCTCAGTCCAGAAACATGCAAATGAGCTTATTCGCCTGCAATGCTACATCTTCCATTATTACAATGCTTTGTATACGGGTATCTGCTAAATAAACTATATTTCTGACATTGAGTTAGTAAAAATTGCAAAAAGAGAGAGGATTTCACTTTTTTTTGCATTGCATGTAATTTGGTGATTCCAGTTTTGTTTTGTCACACGAAGTGCACGAGTTTTCATAGCCATGAAAATCCACATAAGTTTTTAAGTGACTGTCTGATAATTTATGAAATACTAATGTTTAAACAGAGGCTTTAAAATAGTTTCATTTTTGCACTAAACACGCCCACATCAGTTACTTTCTACAAAGATGAAAGGCGTGATGATTTCTGATCAAATGCACTAAAATCCTTTCTATATCAGTATAGTTTTACACGATCTTTAAATCAGCTTTCATTCTACCACTCACACCCTAAAACATGTTTGAATAGATATGCTACATAGTACCACATTACTAATCCTACTACAAGTGTAGTACTTTGTGACAGTTTGTGACTCATCTGTAGATCTGCCTGTGTGTAATGTGTCTTCATATTTCCAAAGAATAGTTGTGAAAATTCATGATAACTCTAAACTGGTTTTGTGGGAGTACATAAAGCTGATCTTGTATATTGCTGCTGTACGATGTTCCATGACATCTGTACGTGTCTGTAACCGCTGCTTTAATTTTCACGTTTCTCAGCTATCCAGTGTTTGAGGGCAGCATGCCAAATTTGCGCAATGATTTTTGTTTCCTGCTTCTTGTCCTGTTGCTCAGAAGAAAGGTCTCAGTAACACCTCATCTGTTTAACCGTTCATGTTCTTTGTTTACTGTATAAAACAGCAGCATGACAATACAGCAGTATACAATGGTAACTGGATCGTGTATTTCACAGTCTTCTATTTTGTGTGAGTTTTTTAAGTTACCTGTGATTTTTTTTAATTCTTTTTTGTTTTAAATCCGTTTAAATAATGTATAATATAAAAGAATGAATGCTGAACTACTGCTGTACTGGTTTTTCTTTTTTAAAGGAGACTGAAATGAGCCACAGTGGAGCTCAGTAGTTATTGTTCTGTGTCAAAATGACTTACATTAAATTGTTTATTGTATAATACAGAAGCATGATAATAAAGAACCAGAACAAAATGTAAAATAGTAATCAGATCTTCTTTTTTTGTGTGATTTTTCATTTAAAACCAATGTAAAACATTATGATCCAAAACCTTTTATTCATCTTTTTCTACAAAAGGAGACTGAAACAAGTCACAGTGGAGCTCGGTATTACTTTATAACTTTGTGTCACCCAGCCCTGCTGGGTATAAATACTGCAAGGAGATCCAACATGTATTTTAGCTCCATGCCATAGAGTGATTTATAAACATGCAGTAGCGCTTTGAAATTGATTCTGTAGATAACCAGTGTAGAGATTAAAGAACAGGAATTATGTGCTCTGTATTCTTGGTTCTTGTTAAGACTGTAGCAGCAGCATTCTGAATAAGCTGCAGCTGCTACACTGCTTTTCTGGGAAGACCAGCCAGAAGATCATTGCAATAGTCCAGCCTGCAGGAGATTAATGCACAAATTAGTTTCTCTAGGTCCTGTCTGGACATAAGAACTTTGACCCCGGTTCCACACTGGATGCATCAGCAGTGCAAAACAGCAGCAGAACGGTTTACTCGAAAACTTCAAAGCTGTCCTTTTCACACCGGGAAAGTCTTGGCAGTGGCATGGCTTCCTCGCTGTCCTCTTTGCTGGACTTGTGAGATTACAAGATTCCTCAAGACTTCAGGTCACGGTTTGTGCAGGCCGTTGGGTCACATGTAAGCTTGATATATATGAAATTGCATCACTGCAGTACCTTTATTTTGAAATTTACCAAGGATTTTTCACTGAAACTGGAAAAAATAGAACCCGATCCTATCTTTAGCAGCGCGGTGCTTCTGGGACATGTCTGGAAATCGCATAGTTGCTGCTGGTTTCAAACAGCCCAAATACTATAACGGATTCTATTTGAAGCAGTGACGTTCCGCTGCGGTTCCGTTCTGCTGATGCTTTCATTGTGAAAGTGGGATGTGTCTTTCTATTTAATGAAGATGATAAAACTCTGATCTAGTTACAGTCTTAATGTGAGCAGTGTGTCATCTGTTTATAATCTGATGACCTGACCTTGTGGGAGCTTGTAGAGATTAAAGAGCAGTGGTCCAGGAATCAAAACTTGTGGGACCCCACATGTCATGGTGATCTGCTTTGATTTGTGATCACCACATAACCCATCTTCGAGATATGATCAGAACCAACTGTGAGCTGTGCCTGACAGTCCCACACAGTTTATGATTGTTGGAATGAGTGTCTACAGGTGTAAGCTATAATGAATGAACTCATGTCACAATAAAAGGACGGGTAAGGCTCCACCCACTGTGTGGAAAAGGACTGTCTGTCACAAGCGGTAGCAGATGGCGGAGGTGCAGTGGTGGAGTCCCCCGTCATGAAAGAAGACTGTATGATTCTCTCGTTTATTACCACTCAAATTCCAGTACAAGGGCGCAGCCCGAAAGCGACTCTGCTAACAGGTTATGGGCCCAGATGAGCGGCGGAAGGAATCTGCAACCAGAGAAGGAAGGGCGGCTACCTGAATCAGCGAGTCACCAGCAGGTGTGAGGAGCTTGACACAGATTGAGTGAGTGAGCGTCTTTACGCACCATGAGAAGACACGCAGCTGAGTCGGGGAGTCGATATTCCCGTTTGCAATTTGATGGAGATGAAAGAAAGTATGAACTATGGGAAACTAAGTTCCTCGGTCATCTCCGATTGCAAGGCTTTAAAGATGTCATCTTAAAGTCGGAGGTGCCTGAAGGTGAGGAAGAAGATGACGAAGACGCTGATAAGAACGCCGAAACGTATGCGGAGTTGATCCAATTTTTGGATGATAAAAGTCTATCGTTAATCATGAGAGATGCAGTTGATGACGGTCGGAAAACACTGAAGATATTAAGAGATTATTATGCTGGAGCGGGCAAGCCACGTATCATAAGTCTGTACACAGAATTGACTTCTCTCACGAATGAAAGGAACGAGAGTGTGACGGATTATATTATCCGAGCAGAGGCAATCATTACAGCGCTAAAAAATGCTGGAGAGTCACTGAGTGACGGGCTTCTGATCGCAATGATAATGAAAGGCCTACCAGAGACATTTAAACCCCTTATTGTGCACATTACCCAGAGTGATGCAAAAATCACATTTCCAGAATTTAAAGTAAAACTGAGAAGCTATGAAGACACCGAGAGAATGCGTGCAGCGGTAACTGATGACAACGTAATGAGGACAAAAGTGCATCCTGACCAGGAATCCGCTTCATGGCGAACAGTGGATGGAAGATCAAAGATTGTGTGTTTTAAATGTGGACTGAAGGGGCACACAGCAAGAATGTGCCGATCCAAAGTGTGGTGCAGTTATTGCCGCAGTAATACACACAAAGACGCAACCTGCAGAAGGAGAGTGAAAAGAGATGAAGCAAGAGGAGTCGCGGAGGACAAGGAGAAGGACTACGCGTTCAAGATCGGTTCCAGACTCCAGAGGATCCGGGACGACGGGCCAGAGATGCTGACTACACAGCTTCTGGTGGACACGGGAGCGACATCGCACATCATCACCAAGATTGAAAGCTTTAAGACTTTTGATGAGACTTTTAGACCGGAGGCTCACTGCGTGGAGTTGGCTGACGGGAAGAGGAGCAGAGGAGCTGCGCAACGGCGTGGAGATGCCGAGATAAGTATGCTGGACAGCAGAGGACGCAGTCACAAGGTAACACTGAAACAAGCACTGTACATCCCATCGTTTCCTCAAGACATCCTGTCAGCTAAAGCAGCGACTGGTAACGGAGCCGCGGTGGTTTTCAAACGTGGGGACAGTTTTTTTAAACATGTCGACGGAACAAAGTTTCCAATTTATGAACAAGAGAGACTGTTCTTTATGAACACTGTGAAAGAGTGCGAAGACAAATGCAATGGTTGTTTTGATATGCAAACGTGGCATGAAATTTTAGGCCACTGTAATTATGATGACGTTCAAAACCTACAAAATGTTGTTGACGGGATGAAAATTACGGGTAAAACGAACAAAAATTTACAATGTGAAGCGTGCATTCAAGGAAAGTTTACGCAAACCAGGAATCGAGAACCAGATGAAAAAGCCAGCGCAGCTTTAGAGCTGGTGCACACGGACTTAGCTGGTCCGATTACACCAAACTCTAAAGAAGGGTTCAAATTTGTTTTGTCCTTTGTTGATGATTTTTCGGGTGCGACATTTGTGTATAATTTGAAACAAAAAAGCGATACAACTCAAGCAACCGAAAAGTTTATTGCAGACATGACTTCATATGGGAAAATCAAATGCATTCGCTCTGATAACGGAACGGAATTTACAAGCCGGCAGTTCCGAGATTTATTAAGCAGAAGCGGTATTAAACATGAAACGTCGGCGCCGTATTCACCGCATCAAAACGGAACGGCAGAGAGGAACTGGCGCACGCTCTTTGATATGGCAAGGTGCATGTTAATTGAGAGCGAGTTGCCGAAGTCTTTATGGCCATATGCCGTCCAAACAGCGGGAGTGATCAGAAATCGATGTTTTAATAAACGTACAGGGCTGACACCGTACACGATGCTGACTGGGAAAAGACCCAATCTCTCAAGGATGAAAAAATTTGGGTCATTATGTTATGCCTATAAACAGAACAGAGGAAAGCTGGACTCTAGATGTGATAAAGGAGTTTTCTTGGGATATGATCGAAATAGTCCTGCATATTTCGTCTATTTTCCGAAATCTGGCAAAGTCGAAAAACACAGGTTGATTAAGATATTAAATCCAGCCACAACAGATCAACAAACGCAGAGTGACCACATTTTTGAAGACGAGATCTTTGAATCTATGAAGCAAAGTGAATCTGAACAGACAGAAGAACAAAAAACCACTTCGCATGTGGAAATTCCAGAGCCGATGGAAAGCAGTCAAACGGATTCTGAAGTCAAAACTGAGGAAACCGTTGACGATGGAGCAAAGCGTTATCCATCCAGAGTTAGAAAGAGACCTGATTATTTGAGTGATTATGTCTCGGATGCAAAAGAGTGCGAAAGCTAAACTAACCTGGATTATTGTTATAAACTGTTGTGTGATATACCAAAGTAGTTTTCTGAAGCTATTGTGTCAAGCGAGTCAAAACAATGGGAAAAAGCAATGGAAGAAGAAATTCAATCGCTCAAGGAAAATGACACGTTCGCTGTAACCACTCTACCAGAGGGTAAAAAGGCAGTGGGGGGTAAGTGGGTTTACACCGTTAAGAGAAACTCCGATGGCTCAAACAGATACAAAGCTCGATTTGTTGTAAAAGGTTTTAGTCAAACAATGGGAGTTGATTATGGAGAGACTTTTTCACCTACTGCCGATTTAGCTAGTGTGAGAATCCTGATGCAAAAAGCCGTCCAGGAAGGCATGTTGTTGTCTCAAATGGATGTAAAAACGGCTTATCTACACGCACCAATAGATGAAGAAATATACATTGAACAGCCAGAAGGTTTTGAGACAGAGTCTAATGAGAAACATAAACTGGTTTATAGATTGAAGAAATCACTCTATGGATTGAAACAATCGGGACGTAATTGGAATCAAACATTGCATGATTATTTACACAGTTGTGGATTCAGACAAAATCGTGCTGATAATTGTGTTTATACAAGGGAAACTGAAAGCCAAAAAGTAATCATTTTGGTGTGGGTGGATGACTTACTTATTGCAGCTAACAATGAAAAAGTGCTCTCGGATGTAAAGGAAATGCTCTCTTCTAGGTTCCAAATGAAAGACTTGGGAAAGCTTAATAATTTTTTAGGAATAGATTTCCTTCAGGAAGCGGGGTGTATTAAGATGTCACAGAAAACATATGTGGAGAACATTCTAAAAAGATTTGATATGCAAAACTGTAAGCCGAGGTCAACACCTTGTGAGCAGAAATGGGTTCATTCTGATGCATGTGAGACGTTAGCAGATCCGAGAAAGTATCGTGAAGCTGTTGGATGTCTTATATATCTGAGCTACGGTACCAGACCTGATCTATGCTATGTTGTTAGTAAACTGTCACAACATTTTAATGCGCCAACTGTTGATGATTGGACAGCAGTAAAGCATGTTCTGAGGTACTTAAAAGGTAATCAAGAAAAAGAACTGTGTTTCAGAAAATGTTCAAGTGGAAAACTAGGTCTTCAAGCATACAGTGATGCAGATTGGGCATCTGACGCTTCTGATAGACGTAGTATGACAGGGTACTGTATAAGCCTAAATGGAAATGGCCCTTTAATATCATGGAAATCCAAAAAGCAGACTACTACAGCGCTATCAACTTGTGAAGCCGAATACATGGCATTAGCGGCAACAATTCAGGAATGCATGTATTTAACTTATTTGATTGAAGACATTGATGTGTTTGAGTATGAAACACCTAGGATCTTTGAGGACAATCAGGGGACAATAGCTTTGTCAAAAAATCCAGTGAACAGGCAAAGATGCAAACATATAGATGTAAAGTACCATTTTATACGGTCAGCAGTACATGAAGGAAGAGTACTTATTGAGTTTTGTCCAACTGAATCAATGGTTGCAGATATGATGACAAAACCAGTAACAAAGTATAAGTTGGAAAAGTTCTCTGTATTCATGTTTGGAATGTGAAATTGAATCGGTACGCATTTCGGTTTCCTTGCCTTTTCTTAACCTGTATACAAGTGGGGGTGTTGGAATGAGTGTCTACAGGTGTAAGCTATAATGAATGAACTCATGTCACAATAAAAGGACGGGTAAGGCTCCACCCACTGTGTGGAAAAGGACTGTCTGTCACAAGCGGTAGCAGATGGCGGAGGTGCAGTGGTGGAGTCCCCCGTCATGAAAGAAGACTGTATGATTCTCTCGTTTATTACCACTCAAATTCCAGTACAAGGGCGCAGCCCGAAAGCGACTCTGCTAACAATGATCCTATCAAGAAGGATTGTGTTGTCCACAGTATAAAAAGCTGTTCCACCAGTCCTTCTGACACCAGCAGGCAAGGAGGGTGAAGCGTCATGCCCAAGGACAGAACGACTGATATGACTGTGGGAGCCTGGGTTTGAGCCTGCAACCCACTGGTTGCAGAGCAAAACCCAAACCCCTGAGCCACTGTCACCCCAGTATATCAGGCCCAAGAAGGTAACAGAGTACACATAGAATTCCAAAGCCCTACTGTAAGTAGTCACCCATCCATGTTCTGTTTCTGAGCTTTTAATTGCCCCTCAGGGATAAATACAGTTTTTTCTGATTCTGATTCTGAAACTCTAAAAACATTATGGATCCTTTGCCTCTGCTGCAACCCTGGTCTCAGAAAGGATCCTGCATTCGCCAGCTCCAGTCTTTGAAAAGCCCCCATTACTGGAAGCTTCTCTTCCTGTTCTATCAGCCCAAAGGAGCTACAGTCTGACCTGTCTGCATAACCAGCTTCAAAGTGAACTCAGCTAGACCCACCTTTGTCTGTTGCAAATCAAACCAGCAAGGAAGTTGCACTAGAGTTGCCAGCAAGGAAGTTGCACTAGAGTTGCCTTTGACAGTTACCATTCAAGTCTTGGATAGGGTGTG